CAGAACTCGATTTCGCCGTAGAAGCTGACGGGTAGCAGATTGATTGACGTTATGAACAACCAAAACACACCGATGAATATGCAGCAGGGGCGTCCTTGATCCAGAATTGGATGATAAGGCTTGTTGCCGTCAACTCGAGTGCGAAAGTAATGGACCACGAAAACCCAGTATATCCAACCCATCGCGAAACCAAGACTAGGATCAGCGAAGCGGGTAGCGTACGTGGTGAAGGCGCCAGCTACTGGTATACACGTTGCCATTTCTCCAAGAGAAACTATGACGGAATACACGATAGATCCGACGAAAGTATATGCGATCAGAGCACCGGCAGGGCCCGCAGTTGAAATTGCTTCGCCACTACCAATGAATAGACCGGTGCCGACAGTTCCGCCTAGGACGATTCAACAGTAAAGTTCCGAATCGATAATGAGAGCATTTGTATATACATACCAATAGCAATCATCTGAAGGTGTCTGCTTTTCAACTTCCTCTGGAGCTGGGAAGATTGGGAAGACTGGTGCCAGAACGACTCATGATACGGGCATGACGAGGTGTCGCCTACCGTAGCCGTCGTTCCTTTCTCATCCTGGTTCAATGATTCGTGATCGATCAAATCCGCCATTCTAGATGCCCGAACGTACAGATGTCTCGATGGGAAACAAAATCAAGTAAGTCTCTAAAAGAGAAAATCGTCAGAGCGGGACATAAAATCGTGGCAGTGAACTTGTTTTCCTGCCCACAAACTGAAGTGGTCCAAAAGCTGGAAAATATATAACTATATATATATATATATATATATATATATTAAATCTCTTATTTAATATGTCTGCAATTAGGAGTGAAGATGCAAAGAATGGCAACCTCCAAAAACACCAACTGAGTAATGATTTAAGAGGCATTGCGATAGACGGAAAGTAGCAAAATTGGCCAATTGAGAATTCGCCTCTGCGGCAACACACTCAGCGGTGACTAATCAGCATGAGAGTTGGTTCCAACAAAGACACAACAATGGAACCAGGCATGGAACTGCGAGCCAAAACGAACAGATAACATGTTGTGCTAATATGTAGGGCCCTATACGCAGGCAATGATGAACTTCCATGATTCGCTTGCTATGCCGGCCTTCGGGCAATTCAACCGAAGGGGAAGCCAGCAGGGGTAATTCCTGACGAATGTGAAATGTGCATTAGCAGCAGGCGTTTTATAGGATAAATCTCGACTCAAAAGGCATAGCATCCTTCAGGATGTGCCATGTACGATGTCGGGAGCCCTTTGGATATTCGTAAAAACTGCGAGGCAAGGATATTCGCTCAGCCGTTCCAGTCACCACCATCGCATTACTATGTATCATGCATCTGAAAGCTGATCAGAAGCTAACAATTGAGCCCCCAGATAGCAATGGTGGTGTCATCCCGTCCCCGCCTCCGTTCGAAACCATGAGTATGGGCGAGTTGTTCAAAACGGGTCCATGTCAGATTTAGTACGGCTCTTGTGTCCATCATTTCGCCCAAACGATCGTCAGTGTTGCCCTGTCTCTCCAAGCCATAGGGTTGGTAAATATAGGGCTAGTTCTGCAAGGTGTATGCCCCCCTTCTGCAACAAAGAGATCACAAACGGTATTGAGATCGGAATGTTGTGCTTGTTGGAGGTAGGCCAAACCATAAAACTGAATCAGGTTCCATAATTCAAGCGAAGAGGCATAAATCTTTGGATATATTGATGAATTAGATAAAGCGTTCCTAGCACATGTGCTAATATACAATATGCTGGTCACGAAACGTGAAGACTCTACTCCGTACACTTACATATATTGGTTGGAGAGAACAAACCACAGATGCTCAGTTCCCTCGTGAAACCACACGATGCGCCCTCTTTCTCCGTTCTCTGTAGACCATCCCAAGGAATCACAACTGCGATGGGGCGGGATGAGGGCTTACAGGCGGTGCGGCCCTAGCTCGAGCATGTTCTTGATCAACTATCTTGTTGTCTGCCATGTCCAAGGACCACAGACAGCTGGCTCAACACCTGGGTCAATTCCCCAAGTTTGCCCCAACATTGTTCTCCACGTGGCGCAAACATATCAAGAATTCATCCACTGCCATCTCAAACACCCGAACATGGCGTCTCGTTAGCGCGGCAAATGAGGCGCCAATGCCCAGCTAGAAACACACGTGATGGCGGATGGGAAATTTCTCTGAGCAAGACGGGAGCTCTCGACGGTCAACTCCGTCGGAGTTTTAGTTTAGCTCTGAAGTTATTTTATTATTATGGACGGCGGCGCTGCCACAAGGGAAAGTCTGCAGCTCCAGGAGTTCTCCTGGCTGCCTCAAGTTGGCCTCATAGTGGCCTGGCTTCGACACAGATCTGCTCTCGCCTCAGCTTCAGCTCATCCCATCATGGCGACGATGACTTCCACAATGGAGTCCCCTAAGCTCTCACCTGCGACGACGCAAACTCGGACCCAGACCCATCGACGCCGCCTTAATCGTGAGGAGCGAAAAGATATCCTAGTCCTGCGGCGGCTAGGTTATACGTATCAAGCTATAGCTGAACATCTTCACGTCTCCCATCGCGCTGTCCAATACACCTGTGAATCAAATACGTGCGATCCCAAAAAAAGGCCAGGTCGGAACAGCAAGTTGTCCACCAAGCAAGTCGATGACATTGAAGCCTTTTTGGCCGCCTCTAAGGAGAATCGGAAAATGTCCTACAAGAAGATAATCGAAGTTCTTGGCCTTGACGTGAAGCAGGACTGTCTACGTCGAGCTCTGCAGAAACGTGGTTATACTCGCCAGGCTACCTCAATGCCTAATTGTCGGTCCAGCAAACGTAGCGATCTTGTAAGTTTTGTAGGTCTACCAGGTTTGTAGGAGTTTGGAATAGTCACTAGAGCTAATACACCCGTTATCAGGCTTGGGAGATATGTAAAACCCCCGACATTAGGAGCAAAGACCAGAACGAACATGAGTCCTCCGCCGGGTTATTGCTCCCAGACCATCCCTCTCCCGGCGGGCTCCTACATCATCACCATCGCCAACCTGCTACAGACCAACCTCAAGCCCCTTTTACCCGATATCCTCATATTCCCACTTCCTACCAAGGCTACCATTCCATTGCCTCTCCTCAATCACAGCCAGTCCAGCTTCCGCACCTCCCAGGCCCATACCACCAGGCCGCACCGCCAGAATTCCAACACCTTCCACAACAATACACCTCTATGGCAGCCCATCATCACCCGCAGCAGCCGCAGCTGCTGAAACAGCAATACTCACCACAGTGCCGATCTATACCACTTGAACCTCGTTCAATCCCTCCCCAGAACAATCCAGTGCATTTACACCCTCACTCTTTGTCAACGGCGATTCCTCCATACCACTCACTTCACGAGTACCATTCTATTTCTTCCAATAAATCACGCCCTCCTCTCCCCGGAATACCGTCGACCCCTATCCGAGTATTGTCCCAGTTTGATTGATCGTCGTTTCCGTTTCGGGTTAAATCTCCATCCCCATTCCAATCTCCGTCCTTTCGCCTCCGTGCACATCGACAATCGACATCCAAAACCTCAGCCGTAGTGCATCCCCGGGCTTATACCAAACAACAAACTCCCACGCACAAATGGCAAGTTCCATCATATACCCCTGTGAAAATAAGTAAAAATAAACCACGTACTGGTTATGCTTTCATCTAACAGAGACAAATCTAGCTCGTAGAAGTATCCAGCATGACGGACCGATCGCATAAATCTAGCGGATATTCAACACCACTTACGATACCAGATGACCGCAGCGACTACTACAGATATGAGACGAGCGTTCCGCCTGAGATGGCAGGCGTCGATTCGGAACCGAGGTTGCGATGGCAGTGAATTCATCCATTTATATTTGTAAGATACGATTAAAGTTTAGAAAATGGGCCTCAGGGCCTGGTTTGGCGCGTATGGGAAACGAGCATGCTGCCTTCACTGGTCGCCATGCAATGTACAATACCTGTCGAAGCTGAATAGAGAAAGCTAAGTCATTGGCGTTTGGAAACCCACTGCCGCTTAAACAACTCTTTCTACTTTGGCTACTTTTTCTTCACCAGGGTCTCTCATGTCTTGATATTTTTTTTTCTTGGCTAGGGTTGTCTATTTGCAATGTTTTAATACCTGGGGTAATACAATATAGAATATAGACCAATGCTTTGATACTTACATAAACTCATCCTATAGTTACGCTCTTTGTCTGCCTAGGACTCGTGCTGGCAATAATAACATTAGCATACAAATGCCATAACCGAAAAACATACATAGCTCACGTTAACCGATATAAGGGGTGTCCATGAAAACTAAAATTCATACATTTACTCGCTCCGCACATTTCTTATAAGCGCTCAAACAAAACGCGAACAGAGGAGATGAGGGCAGGAAAACACGAATAATCAAAAGCAATTCATCATGAGATGGCCATGGGTCACCATCTGCACCAAATAAATTTGAGTACACTAATATCAATACCACACCGCCGGCATAATTTCTCAAAGAAACCCACTAACAAAAGCAACAGCATAAGACCGATACTTCTCCACAACAGCACTATGGACTTCCCTGTCAAAGCCTGAGTCGCAGACCGGATCTCCTGAGTCACAGTAGGACCGCATGCGAGAAGCATACGCGTCGCATGCTTCGGAATCCGGGCGTGGGAAGAGCTGGCAAGATAGTTACATTGAGAACATTGAGTAGGATTGGACATCTCCAGGAACCAATGTGCTTCAAATTAAGAGAAGGGAATGAATGACCTGGCGCGGAAAGGAAGGAAAATAACTTACACCGCTCCTAGTTGAACTGCCAACATCGAACGATTTACCGGGTACGTGGCGCGGATCAGCCATAAAAATAATCGCAGACACTACAGGAGTTTCCAAGATACAATTTGGAGTTAACTAAAAGAAGAACCAAACACTATGTTGATATCCCACTAGCTTTTGTATTGTCTTTTTCTTTCCTCCTTCCCCCATTCCCACCACGGACAAATTGTAACCGTCCAAGCGACGACAATAACTCGCAACAACGTCTTTTGCGTACCTTTATCCACAATGGTCCGATCAACCGCCCGCTCCGCAAAGGCTCCGCCACACAATACATTGCCAATAACGTGGGCACCCTGTGAATACCCCAGTAGCACAATCTTCGACTGCGGACAGCTTGACACGGACGTGTTTAAAAGGCCAGTCAAAGCTTGAATCCCTTTGTATAACGAGAGGGAGTACGGGAACAGATCCGCGGGGTAATCAAGCGCGATTCGCTTGCTGTTCTGGCGCTCATTGCCAAGATCGCCGGCGATGCTAGCCAGACGGCCTTCGCCGGGTTCTTCGGAGGTGCCGCGCGCTGTGATTATGGTTATGGCTGTGCAAGAGACGGTAGCAGTCTGTACTTGCGCGACTGGTATTGGGAGCAGGATTGCGATTGCCAGATGGGCAATTGCGAGGATGAGGGACATCACTGGCGCTATTGCGAGGGCAGTCCGCATCGTCGTTAGAATATCTATCTATCAAGACTTCGGAAGCTACTGGAGGGTTCGTGACATTGGTGCATTAGGGACTGTGAGAAAAATCCGATGATGCCTATTTACGTATATGGATATAGGCAAAACTGGGGAGAAGTTGGGAAGGAACGGATGTTCGAATCTGCCATTGATCTATTGGTCAATGAATAGGCAGCCGTCCTGTAGCGCCAGGAAGACAGAAAAATCAGCAATTGGTGCTTGAAAACGTCAAGAGTCTTCCGTCAGAGCTGCTGAGAAGCAGCCAGTGGTTAGGGAGAGTAAAGCAATGCACACCCTGAAAAAATCCAGTGTACTTGCTCAGCGGATAGCATCTGGGAAGAAGTTACACGAGAAGAATATCAGAAATAATTCGAGTATGTTTGAGGAGTGTTGAGAGCTATAAACAACTTTACACGGGCTGTTGGAACGAATTATTCTTGAATCGAGAAATCTTGAGTACTGCCATCTGGAGAGGAGAAGACCTGTGAGGCCACAAAGGAGCATGGCCATATCGCAACACAATTATCCACAAAGGCAGATCTGAGCAACATCTGAACGATAAAAGTTGCAGGGGTATTTGGTTTACAGTCAGTCCCCTGAATGACTAGAATATGCTTTTGTTCCAGAGCAATGCAATTGGAAGAAATCTTTCAAGATGATAGTCATATCAAATATAGGAAGAATAAAAACAAGTAGAAAAAACCTAAAAAGGATAAAAGAATAAAAGCTATGGGGGACAGCAGACCAACAATTCCTCTCTACATGCGAGTTCCTGAGCTGGGTGTGTTCAGGGGAACATTGACATCACCAGAATGTATGTAGGGTTCTAAAACCACATGCTGTCTAATACGCTACACCTCATAGTATTGCTCCGTTTCATTTTTTTTGCTCTTTCTTTCCCGGAGGAAATTGTTGATTTCAAGTAATTCTTTGGATGCAAAAAAGTTTCAATACCTTGGTTTATTACGTATCATTCCGCTGATTACTATCTCTATTCCAGCTTCGAAAGGAATGAATGGTCTTGAAGCCCTGACACGGCTACTTCAATCCAAACTAAGAAAAGCTCATGATTGAAGAAAATGAGAAAGGGTGAATCAAGCTCTTGATTTTATTCAACTTCCCTGCTAATCTATATTCATAGACAATCATGTTATTTTGTTAAACTTTTCCAGGGCCAGATTCTCCATTCCATTAAATGAAGGGGATGATGGATGTGAAACTGAAAACTTTAGACAGTAAGTACTAAACAGAGCTAGAACCTTCCTATCAGCAGAAAACCTCCACATCTTTCGGTGAGGGCGTTTGATCTTTCCTGCCGCGGGGAGATAACGGGTTGAACTCGATCCGTATATATCTTCGATTTGTTGATTAATTTTCTCAACTCAATATCAACATGTGAAATAGCCATATCCCCATGCGCACTGCTAGCGGCGAAATGTCCGAGATACAGCTAGGTCAAAAGGAACCTGGCTTAGAGTGGCCGCTGTCCGGGGTACCGTTACAGTAAATAGAATGTCTGCCGTTCAATGTTTTCAGCATGAGAGTAAGAAATCAAGGATCAAATAGAAAGTCGATTTTCATCGGAGAAAATAAAATAAAAAGTTAGAATTCCAATTATTTTTTTTCATTTTAATCAGATATTCCAATTGTAGACAAGGGTTGGAGTTTCAACTCGATTGAACTTCTGGCACGATCATGGTAATCTAGGTTCCAGATGAAAATATGGATTTGGATTAAGGAAATTCTGACTGGCTATATAGATATAGTTGTAGCCATGGATGGACGGTAACACTGCGCTCAGAAGCGGAAAACCTAACGCCCGTAAAGTTTCAAGGGATCTGATAATTGGAAGTTAAGCGCTGCTTTCCCTGTTTGGTTGAACAGGTGCTCGCGGCATCCCCACACCACCACTATATTCTATGATAGTGGGGGGGGGGAATGAGGGGATGCGGGGGGTTGCCATGAAGTACAGAATATACTGGAGGCCCAGAACCTAAGGTATCAGGCTTTGTACGGACTCTGCTGTCAACCACTTAGCCTTCGATAGACATGGATTTGGACTCTCATATCCTCCAATCCAATTCCGTCCCCAACTTGATACTTCAGCAGGGTTGTATCTCTTCGGAACCACCGAGAATCTTCTGACACAACGCGTTCCCAATTCCCGTCAGCAACGGAAAGTAAGGCATGATCGAGAAGAAAACGCATTGGGTAGTTTCTTTGTGACATCGGGTGGTTCAATTTCGTTGCAGACGCTTTTACATCTTGGCGCGTTGTGCGGTCTTCCCTGGAAGGAGGGGGTGTACTGGAATTTGACGATTTTTGCGTGGAATTTTCCTTACTAGTAGCAAATGAGACAGTCGAATAACTCCCGGGACTGTCCACAACGAGCAGTATTGTCCCAGGGTGGAGCATATCCGTTAGCCGAAGCAGGAATGCCGTCGTCATAGATATCGATGTTAAGAACAACTCGTTCAATGTGAACATCAGAGTGACCAGCATATTTTCGTTTCGCTTCATAGCTAGCCAATCGAACTTCATATCACCATTCACGTTCCTAGGTGGGCTGAACAGGGAACGCATTTCCTGATCTGTGAGTTTCAATACGTCTGCTTTCTTAAAATGAACCTGAAACTGCCCGTCAACTTGACTCTCTGGATTCGTGGGAGGAATCAACGGCGCAGGGCAAGCCATCGACGACGGTATAGATTCGGATAAAATTGCTTTGTTGAGGGTGTTGACAAGGGAAGACCAGTCAGCAATATCGATAGAGGTGATCGAGAAATTTGAAAACGGTTGCTGGCCTGCAAGCTGGGTATCAGTGTCAGGAATCTGTACTGGCTCCATCTCATTTTCCAATGATATATTTCTAAAATTGTTGCTCATTGAAGAGAATTCAGCCGCGCGATCCGAAGTAACAGCTGCTGGGGCATTGGATATTCCCCCATCATGCAGCCACCTCCACGCCGCAGCCAGTCCAACAATTTCTGCTCCTGCACCTCCTCCAATACAAACGACATGCTGACCAGATTTCTCGTTTCCAGCAACCACAGTACGATGCTGAATAATCATCTCTAAAACAGATGCAAATATACCCGCATAGCCTAAGGCCCTTCCGGCACTCCAACGTAGCGCGTATGCTTTGAGCAACTCTTCATTTGCATCAGCAAATGCAGATATAAAGTCCCGATGATAAAGATGGGTCTTCAATATCTGGACCAATTCTGATAAAGGTCGCGATAATGCTTCTGTCTTAGAATCCCTATCGGAGAGGAGACCATACTGAAAAACGTTCAGGAGCAATTGTTGAAGTGGAAGTGGTAATATTTTCGTCTGTAGAGCCGGTCTGCTGTTTCCATCGTTGGAGGAAGAGAGCCCACCCATCGATTCCGGGCACTTGCTGGAGGATTTCCCACCACTTTTAACGCTGGTAGATTTATTTGCCATGTCGGGTGCGCTCTTTGGCTTAGCGCCTTTCTTTCCGTTTGGCTTCGGCCCATCCTTTCCACGCCGATGTGATTGAGCCATTTTCCAACACCTCGTTGAATCTCCAACACGTCGTTAAATCTGTTCCAATCGACGATGGGAATACGGTCACATGACCTTCTCAGACCCAGGTATTAAATAAACATATTAGGCCACTAGGGCAAAAGAGCTCAATCACCACCAGCGCCGTGGTACGGAGTATAGAGGGTACGAATCACCCAATCCAATCCCCCCAACAAAACATTGCCCACTGGCCTTATCTCAGCAAGCTCGGCCGCTTCGCAGGATAATTGCTGTTTTAGTTAACACTGATTTAATGATTAGTCACTCTTTTAAACAAGCTAATCTAAAACTGGTAATGAGCTAACCCAAATAAGTCTTTGATCCCATGATGTGCAATTATCCTGCGAAGCGTCTGAGAAAAAATTCCAGTTTGTTAGCAACACGGGGACGATTTGCTATACCTTAGGCATGGGTGAGAATACCAAACCAACTCCATCTATTCAGCATCTCTGTACCACCTTGGGACCTAGGAAAATCAATGTTCTCGCGATGGTATCAATTTTTATTTTCATATTCCCATTTCTTAGATATGAAGTATCACCTCAAAGTCAACTCATTTTTTTTAAACACGGGAACAATCTGCTATTTACTTGATTTCAATCAGAAAAAAAGTGATAATTTTCAACAAGATACATCTATATTAAATATTGATTTTTTTAATATAAAAATTATATATTTATATTCTTCTTCTCTTTAGCTACAAGCTAAGGTGGTTCACAAATTTCAAATATGTATGATGATTGTGTAATTGAAAGTCAAAGTTGAACAATTTGAAGAATCTATGAAAATCTCAACAAATCTCCACAGAAGGATGAACTCGGGAGGATTGCTCTGAGCACATGACTTGTAACTAAAGTAGTTTAGTGTCATGCTGCTGCAACCGGAGCCAGAGATAACACTGGCCCCAGGGAAAGATGTAAATTCTGAGTGACACCCACAGCTACAAAAATCCCTAATCCCACACAAGTCTACCTTACCTCTATTTTCATGGTTGACATTTCAATCATTTCTATTTGAAATTTATGGCATAATTCTCCTGTGCTTTATCTCTTTGGACTTTATTCCCTCTGTCAGTTTTTTAAATTATATATGGACTGCAGTATACATTAGCAAAAAGCGTTTATTCTCACATCCATTAATTACAAGAACATCATTGACTACTGCAATTTAATTAACATCGTAGCAACATTGAAGACTGAGTCTAATGGCTTTTTTCACATTGGTTGAGAGGGGTGGTTGTTGCAAGTGTTCCCAATGGCGGTGGGCGGTGGATGAAAATAGAATTCGTTTAGAGCAATAATATAAATTAGAGCAATAATATAAAGCACTTCCTCCGCCTTCTAAAAAATTCCACAGATATATCTTCTGGCTAAACAAATTCCACCAATACTCAAACTATTTAGCCTGCCTGCACTATCTTCAAACTTGGTAGTCAATATGAATCAAGCGTGCCAGCATTGTCCCTCCAATCCCCTAAATGGGCCACGATCATTGCGACGCTCGGCGTCAGTGTCTTCAATCCGCCCCCATTATGACACTGATCTGTCAATGGACAAACATGATATCACCGAATACCTAGCAACGATCGAGCGTCTGGAGGATTTGCGTTATCGCGAGGTGGCAAGATTGCAGGCAACGTTGGGTAGCCATGGCGAGGAGCTTTCCAGTATTCGTTCGAGACTGGAGAATGCAAAGGGAAAGGAATAGGCAAGGAAGAAAAGCGCATTAGAAAGAGCCCAATTATGTGATGCCGAGATTATTTCTCTGAGGGAAGAGCTTGGATATCAGAAGCAACAGAATATCGCTGTCGAAAATTTGGCAGCAGAGGCTGAGAAGACCATAGCTAACATGCAACAACATATTCGCCGCTTGGTATACCAGCTAAACAGTATGCGGAATAAAAAGGAACAGTTTGCGGATCGCATCGATCGTCTTGGGAACACCAACACCGTGCTCCTCAAGAAGAACAAAGCTATTGCAATGGAGACTGATGAGTTCAAACATGAGATGAACGCCGCAAATAGTTCCCTGATGGATGCCATTGTTCGAGAGAAAGAGAAAGCAGGTCTAGCACTTATCCAGCGTGATCTGGAACGCGCCCGATGCTGAGGCAGGCCTATTTCCGGTAAGCGCACCCACGACCGCCCGGGACGACATTGTCATGCATGTCTTGACGACACATGGACCGTCCACGTTGAAAGTCGATGGGCCTGGTGCACGCCGTGAAGCAGCACAAGAAATGCGCAGAGGGGCCGCGAATACAGCACAGATAATTGACCAAGGAAAATATACAATGACGCTCGAGATGAGAGTATCAACCCCTTGAATCCTAGAATTGTGCACTTTTAGCGGCTAAGGAAGTGCTGTTCGTCAGCATGAAAAGGAAAGAGGAAATTTGAGAGAAGTGAATCGCAAGCTCATTACTGAAATCTGGAAATATAAGAAGCGTATGGAGTGTTTGGCCGAGCGCATTGGCATCAATTTATCAGAACCAGACATTGAATCAGAAATGCAGTGATGGATATGTACTTGCCCAGGTTTCCAGTAGCGGCTTGAGGTTGATAGCTAGGAGGTAAGTTCACCAAATAGAAAGTATCCGATCTTCAGAAGTTCTGAGAAAGTCTCCTTTGTCACTGGTCACCCTTTCTTCTCATCAGCCAGCTTTTTTGTATTTACGTAGTTTCACTCCCGAACCTAACCTTTCCTAGGACTATCATACCGAAAAGACCACCCAAAATAAAACGATTCAAGGTCATACACTGGTCACTATGGACACCCTAGCACCAGCGTTACCTCGCGCGTCCAAGAACCCATTTCATTCCACTCTAATTGCGAAATCAAGGTCATTCACAAGTAGATTCTGAGCAATATTGTTTTCCGCCGCCATTTCAGTGATCAAGCTAGTATTGCTGTGGACTAGTGTACGGAGGAGTCCTTCTTTGAAGGATGGGACGGGCCGGCGATCGTCGTATCGTCCTCCCACTGGATGGAAGGTGGGTGGGCACATTGGTTGCTGCTAAACCTGGGCCATGTAGTTGACTGAATGAGACGCTAATTGCTCTCTATGATGAGTCAATTGTAACCTTTTTAAACCTTTTTATCTTTTTCTTTTTTTACTCTCTTTTTGCATCCATGCAGTCAGGCAGCAGAACTGCATTCTGCCAGCCTTTTGTTATATATAGATACATGGGCGACGACCTTTCTGTCAACCTTTTTTCTGTTTTCATGCATCTTCTCTAGTACCTGGCTTATAGCAACATCCGATACTCAACAACAAAGGTCATCCACTTCTGATCAAACCCCGGTCTTTCGAGAAAAATGGCGGAGAAGTGGGCACAAGCTGGATGTAACAATTGGGCTTTGAGTGGTGGGCGCTTCTGCGCCAATCGTGAGCATAAATTCCGCCCCCGAATTTCTCCAACTACCTCCTAACACAGAGGTGAAGATAAGCCTCCTGGATCTCAGCAGAAACCTGCAGAGGAAGTCCACAGTGACGGGACTCGGATTCCCGGTCTCGCAAACGACTGTCAAAGACCACTGAATCTTGTAGCTGGATCGCTTTGTTGATTGTCATTTGGACTGTTTCTGAAGAGCATGGATGGTAGAAGAGGGAATGGGGAAGACAATGAGCAAAGGGAAGGGTATCGAGAAAAGAGACTGTGTTGGGGCGAGTAGATTAGCTTCTGAGATCCACTCGCCATTTAGCGTATTCGAAAATTCTGTCATTTCTTGGCAGTCAAAAACAACGCGTTGAACACCATTTGAACGAATTTCATCAACTTCCGCAGCAATTTCTATACAGATCTGATATTCTCTGATTGCAATATATTATTCATATCCTATATTGAATGAAGCTATACTGATTTCCTAATTCGGAAAATTTGTGCATATATATATCATCATGCCTTCAAAACGCCGTTCGACCACAACGCGATGTTCAAACATGAAAGACACCCCTTCCATCTCTACAGCAGCAATAACTTCAGTTTCTACTGCAAAAGCTTCTACTGCAAAAGCTTCTACTGTGAAAGTTTCTACTGCAAAGACTTCTTCTGCAAAAGCTACTACTGTCTCATCTGTTTCTTATGATCTACATAGAAAACACATTCCGTTGATAAGTATAACACAACACATGATTGATGAATATAACAGTGAAATATGATAGTGATTAATTTCAGATGAAAGAGTGAGAAAGAAAAAATTTAAAATCTGATTTTCGTACTTCTGTATCTTTATTTTTATATTTATCAAAAAATCTTTTTAATTGTATGGCGTACGCCGTTCAATTGGTAGGATAATTCATGTCTGAGTTTCTCTAATCTAGAAGGGTGGGCGAACGCCCCTATATATATACGTAGTCATCCCGTCAGCGATCCAATCCAGAGGAAGGAGCGATCGCAGCATACGGGAAGAATAGGAGGAATAATAATGCAGGGGTGGAAGGAGCAGGGCGGAAGGGAGACTAGGGGCGGAACGCCACAAATTGAATGAACTCTTCTTCTTCAATATACACTCCTTCTGCAGCATGTCTGAATTGCAATTGAGTAAATCGGTCACAGCAAGACTCTTGAATAGCCAATTTTAAGAATTTTTCATAAATTGTACAAGTTTGATGAAGAAAGGTTCAATGACATTTCATTCAAGTTTTCAAAATTGAAAATGTAAGCTCAATTGAATTGAAATTTGAGAAATAAAAACAAAGATAATGAATAAGATGATCAACTGTCTGAATTAACTGAATTACTTCATATCTAATATGAATTGACAATGTTATTCATGATAATAATCATCAGCTGATTGTTGAATGCAGTATCAATAGTTGATAAAAGTTTGTTTTGAAGTCAATTTAAAAAATCTTTTAAATTTCAACAACCTTCTTTAATGCCTGTGCAAGGCAGATATTCATCAAGAGTCATGACTGCACAAATACTTCAAATCTTTCCTCTTGTTATATCAGTCTTGATTGATGCATCATCATCAATTGAAGAGTAGCTATGAGTTCGCCAGCCAGTCTTCTCATTGAAAATAGACTTATTCAGAAAAACCAGATCATCCGCAGAAAATTGTGTAATATCATTTATATAGACCTGGCGCAGGGCTTCACTGTGAGACAGAGATATACATTAAAGCAGCTTTCAATTCCATTTGTGATAATGTAGTAATTTGAATATTGCAAACTGACTAGTTTGAACTCCTCATTCATTTCAAAGCCAGTATATCATTTCATTCTAATGGTGTCAATTTTCATAAAGAATGAATTCAAAAAGTACTTTCTCATCTGCAGACGACAGTTTACAGACTCGGTCAAGTTGATAATAATGAGATGATTGAATACTTCTATATCACAGTAGATTGCTTTGAAGCTGGAAGATTGTTTGAGGACTAACATGACATTCTCAAGCTATATCATTTGACTTCCAATTAAGAAGAAGCAATCGCAGCAGTCAGCTTGTTTTGAGAGAGGTAGGCCATGCAAAGAATACAGCTTAGAAAACTCAGAGTGGTACAAGTTCTCTTGCTCCTGTGACACAGCCATCAATGTATATATTGCTAAATTCGGAAATCAGCACAGCTTCATTCAACAGAGCAGGGAGGATAATAAATCACCATCAAAGCATATAAGACTTGTATAGAAATTGAGGCAGAAGATGATGAGAATTGATTTCAATCAATAATTGATTCAAATGGTGTCAACGCGTTGTTTTTGACTGCCAAGAAATGACAGAATTTTCGAATACGCTAAATCCACAAATAGATCCTTGTAAAGTAGTTGCCCACCTGAGGCGGCAACTCCACCGCACGTGATTACCCCTATAATGGATGGAGTTAGCTAGCGATCACACGATGAGAAGATTATTATCTTCAGGAACTGCCCTGAGTGTGTCGGCTTGGCCGGAGGAAAGCTCGGAGATGGGGCCTTTCACCTTCAGAGGAGTCAATTGATCATGTGCCTAGTGCCATTTGTTTTAATCGATATACGTACTCCGTATATGGATGTATTATTAGAACGCTTAGACCTATTCCTTCTTCCGCATCACCAGAGTCTTTGCACTTCATCTCCTTTACTTGAACATCTTTAGAATCTGTTTTATTAATTCTCATTCTCGATTTCTTTTAACTAAAATGCATGATGCCTCAATGGTCATGTGAATGGGAGAGCTGTGAGAAAGTAGCTGCACAGCGATCAGGGGACTGCTTGCTGTGCGACAGACACTTCTGTCGCACGCACCGCCAAAAGCCATGGCATGAATGCCCCAAACCAGAGGTTAATACAATAAATAGGAATATCAATATCTAAAAGCACTGCTCATGCTGATCAATTTAGGAAAACTGAGAAGCCTACTCAGCCCAATTTGCAGCTACAGAGGCTCGCCACATAGACAAGTTATGGCGTCAACTAGATCGTTCAAAGCTGTGTTCCCACGCATCAACACTTAGAGGAGGCGTCCCATGCACCGTTGACTTGTCTAGCAAGAGCTTGTCTGCCATGATGGGAAACCAGAATTGCCATGCTGAGATCACCTTCGATGACAATGTCAAATGGATTGCTCGTTTTCGCCTCGCTCGGACCTCATCACCGCCGCGGGAAGTACGTGATTGGATACTTCGAAGCGAAGCTGCCACCATGACTTACCTCCAGCAGCACACTTGCATTCCCACGCCCGAAATTTTCGATTGGGCGTGCGAATCCGATCCAGGGAACCCACTTGGAGTTGACTATATTCTGATGGAAAAACTGGATGGAAAGCCCCTGGATTGGCAGACGGCGACTCCTCGGCAGAAAGAAAAAATTATGCAACAGTTGATTGACATGTTCCTCGAGATCGAGAAGCATCCCTTCGAAGCAATTGGGTCACTTTTCTCCTCGGCGGGAGATGCTATAGAGATTCAAGGTCTCGCACATCAATCAACATGGCAGGTTGGAAAGGGTCCACTTGGTCCATTCTCTTCCTTGTTAGAGGGATCACAGGCTATGCTTGAGTCTTATCTTAGAATGATAGCCAGCGGCGAGATTGATCCCTGTTATCCGGTAGAAACCTATATAGTTCATCGATTTCGCCAGGATATTGTTGGCGCTCTCTCGGAAAACATCCTACCAGACAACCAATTTTTTCTCAAGCACCCGGACGACAAAGGTGACCACATTCTGGTTGAAAACCGTTTTGATATCGTGGGAGTCATAGACTGGGAATGGACTCGAACGGTCTCGAGGGCCGAGGCATTTTGTTCGCCATGCATGATGTGGCCGGTGAACGAGTTCTACGACGGCTCTAATCAATTAGCTGCAGATGAATTGCGGCTAGCTGCCATCTTTCAGGAAAGGGGCCGTGCAGATCTTGCCAACTATGTTCTCAAGGGTAGAAAGGTTCAGAGGTTTTTCTTTGCTCTTGGGCCTGAGAGTTCTTTTATAGATATGCAGACGCTTCCACGTCTTTTCGCGGGACTTCAAGAAGTTTTTAACGTCAAAAGCGAGGAATGGGAGACTTGGAAGAGCAAGGCTCTTGTGAAATGGAAAGATGATGAGTTACTCCTGGGCTTGTTGGAGGAATCATCACATTAGGTGCTGTAAAGCTAAAAGTTAGGATACAGGGCTAGGGCTTGTTTTCCGTAACAGGAATAACGCATGTGGCTGTTTCTACCCTTCTATTGTTTTCTTTTTCTTGCTTGCTTTAGATTCTTATAGATAGAACCAAGAAGCCTTCACCAGCACTCGACATGACAAGGAATTTGTGATAGTGGCCGTAGTTATGCACATGCTCCATGAATCGGCACATAGCTAGTATTTTGAGGGCTCAATCAACCGGCCCTTTTTTTTTTTTTTGATAGATAAACTTTGTTAATGTAATTCACCATTTTCTGAGACACTAAAACCATATGATATAAAACTCTGCCTTAGACTATCTATTTCAGACTAAAGAGTAGTGCATTGCACTAGAGATCAATGTAGAGATGTCTAGATATTACACACAGACTTTATATAACTGAAGTAAACAGAAATAATATATACCTGGTCTTTTAGATTTAGAAGTATTATATAGTCAGACAGCTTCTCAAAGTAAGTTGATTTATATTCATTATTATTAAATACTATATCAAGCAGCTATAATCTATGAGTTGTATGAGGTTGAAGTTGTATTCTTTTGATTGGTGTATCCAAACTATGCAATATCATGTGATTTAGTGTCCCAGGACGTGGTGAAGTAGTGGACGTTAAGCTAATTGTCAGATAGGTGAGTCAGCCAAACACCAACGGTTAGTTAGTTAGTTCATTGGTAGGCACCAGTTTCTACGCAGCAACTCAGCGTTTCTAGTAGAGATATAAAATGGCTCCTCTAGTGACTATATCTACTTGGTAGGTCCTATGTTTTATTCGCGGGTATCTGTATCAGGATGCTAACGGCCCTCTAGTTCCCTCAACCAGTGGGTGCTGGATTTCGAAGGAAACACAAGCCGGATTATAGAAAGTATCCGCATTGCCAAAGCTGCTGGGGCTAGGTACGCATCCTACCATCATCCTCTTGGGAATCTGTATTGAAAATATCCTAGGCTTCGCGTAGGGCCTGAACTTGAAATAACCGGCTACTCATGCCAAGATCACTTTTTGGAAGGGGATCTCTACCTACATGTTTGGCAATGCATTGCAACCATCATTGACCATCCTGACTGTCAAGATATTCTGATAGATATCGGCGCCCCTGTATGTTTGAAAATATGTCATTATTCGTACACAAGTTGTTTCTGATTGTCTGACTCATCCAAGGTGCGCCATCGTAACGTATGTCACACTCTATAGGAAACGGATAAACCTATACTTATGGCTCTAGATTCGCTATAATGCACGAATCCATATTCTGAATCGGAGGATACTTCTGATCAAGCCGAAGATGTGGCTTGCGGGAGGTAGGAAAGCCTTCCTATTAAGTCAAAACTACCTTCATACTAAAGCTCCCCAGATGCCAACTACTACGAATATAGATGGTTTACTTCATGGGCCAAACCAAGATATGTTGAGGACTATTATCTTGAAAGAATTGTAGGCGAGATTACTGGTCAAGCCACTGTTCCAATTGGAGATGCAGTCATCAGCACATATGACTCGGCCATCGGTATCGAAACCTGCGAGGAACTCTTCACCCCAAATAACCCAGGCATCCATATGGGGCTCAATGGAGTAGAAATATTTACAAATTCAAGTGGAAGCGTTAGTTTGAAGTACCAAACATTTCCCCCCTTCTTACTAACGTCGTTTTAGCACCATGAACTCAGAAAACTCAAGCAGAGAATCGACCTTATTCGTCACTGTACGAGAGGTGGTGGTATCTACTTATATGCCAATCAAAGGGGTGAAGACGGAAACGGACGTCTTTATTTCGACGGCTCGGCTGGCATATTCGTTAATGGGCGTGTTGTTGGAATGAGCTCTCAGTTCTCCTTAAAGGATGTAGATGTTGTCACAGCTGTTGTGGACCTGTTAGTGCTGTTTCTAGACCAATGTGTTCTCACCAGCTAATAGATACATAGGGAAGAAGTCCGCAGTACTCGTACTTCGGTTAGTCGAAGCTCTCAAGGCAGTCAAGCACCTGCATATCAGCGGATCGAAGCTCCAATTTCGCTGTCAAGAAAGTCAGACTTACTTAACCCAAATGTCAAACCTTCTCCTGATATCGAATTGGAATACCATTCCCCAGAGGAAGAAATTGCTCTGGGTCCAGCTTGCTGGCTTTGGGATTATCTGAGGCGCAGCAGGCAATCTGGTTTCTTGTAAGATTTTATTGGCCTTATCTTTAAACTCTCCCACTGATTATAGTTCACAGCCTTCCCCTCTCTGGAGGACTGGACAGTGCATCAGTTGCCATAATCACATTCTCGATGTGCCGGCTTGTTGTTTCCGCTTGTCGCGACGGAAATCAGGCGGTTATCGCAGATATGCGTAGGATTGTCGGGGTGCCAGAAGATTCACATTGGCTGCCAGATACTCCTCAAGAACTTTGTGGCAAAATCCTTCACACATGCTACATGGCCACCACTAATTCAAGCAAAGAAACGAGAAATAGAGCAAAGCAGTTGGCCAAGTCTATCGGAAGCTACCACATTGATCTTGACATGGACTCTGTCGTTTCAGCGATATCTAACTTATTCACTTTTGTAACTAACTTTACTCCACGTTTTTCCGTCCACGGTGGTACCGCCACTGAGAACCTCGCTCTCCAAAGTAAGCCTGCAAATTCAGGAGTATGTATTTGAGTTTTAACTTATCCTTTTAGATATTCAAGCACGCTCCCGCCTCGTTGTTGGCTATATGTTCGCTCAGCTTCTGCCTCTGGTACGGCAGAGGCCAGGGGGATCTTCCCTCCTTGTTCTTGCATCAGGTACGTTACATGCCATCCATCTTAGTATATGTCTGTGACTAACTATTTTAAGCCAATCTCTCGGAGCAGTTCGTATTTCCCATATCTGATTTTTTTTTTTTTTTTTCCATGACCAGGCGCTAACTTTGTTTATAGATTGAGAGGGTATCTGACCAGTAAGATGCAACTCCCCAAGCAGCCAGTTTGAATATGCTGATGACTGGAGTAGAATATGACTGTTCAAGCGCCGATCTGAACCCAATTGGCTCAATTGATAAAAGCGATTTGATCAATTTCCTAACGTGGGCAAAAGTAAACTTTGATATTCCTATCATTGAAAGCTTCGTGCATGCCATTCCCACGGCAGAAGTACGTATTTGACCTATCGCCCCCAAAGGCGACCTAAGCACGCGCTAACCATCATGTAGCTGGAGCCCATTACCGAAAATTACACACAGTAAGCGTCGTCTGCCCTTCTTCGCTTTACTCATCACCACATGCTAAGTTAGTGTCCTAGATCCGATGAAGACCAAATGGGCATGACATACGCGGAGCTCTCCCTATTTGGTCGCTTGCGCAAAATAAGTAAGTGTGGTCCTTTCGGAATGTATGAAAAGCTCCTCCATATGTGGCCCGAACGACACACGCCACAAGAGATATATGAGAAAGTCCGCAGGTTCTTCTATTATTATGTGAGCAACAGCTACTCCCTCTCCGACGCATTCAATTTTCCCGGGAGTTGGGCTAACGTAATTATTAGGCAGTGAATCGGCATAAGCAGGTTTGTAGTACATTTTTGCTGAAACAGGTTGGAAATCCAGGTGATTAATTGCTGGGAGCATCATTAGGTTGTTCTTACACCAAGCTATCACGCGGAGAACTACAGTTGCGACGATAACAGGTGAGTCTTTCACACTTCCGCTAAAGCATCCCGGATGAAATTGAATCCTTGCAAGGAGATCCGCACACAGCCTTAACACCCCTTGCAGACATGACCAACGACCCATTCTTTATCCCGCATTATTTCCGTTCCAGAATAAGAAGATTGAAGAGCACGTACGGGCTTTGGAAAGACATGCGGAAACTCCAGTTACATCTGAAGATACGGCACATGCTTCGCAGTGAATAACGCGCAAGCATGCTATGCAGCTACACGATGGCCCCGTAAGAGACGAGAACTAGGCTCAAATTTTGTCATGGTTTTATGCAAATAGCTGCTCCTGGTGCGAAATACCAAGAACGAAGAGGCCAATCGATGGCTGGGTGCCGGGTGGATACGAGGGTTGAGGCATCAGGATCAAACTTGCGCGAAATGAATGACATGTTTACACCCCCCATTCCATTCTCTTACCCCCCCCCCCCCAATACACGAAGAGAACCTGTACCATTTCTTATTGCTGCATGTCAAGTTATCCTATGAAACAAAAGGGTCAGTTACCCAGCTTGACAGCTCAGCGGTTGTTGAGGCCCAAAATAGAAATAAATCTGAAACGGAAATACGACAAACGCCGTGGTAGGATAGACATATGTGAGTTGAGGGAGACATCAGTCTTAAAAAATTCAATTTTGTCAGAGATTGTCACTTTCATAGATACGAGATGAACTGAGCTGCGCGCGATCGCGATCCAGCATTTCAGAAGCTGTTTCTCGCAATCCAGTCAGTGAACTCAGCAGTCAGATTAATATGGGTGCTCCTGGGGTAGTACTTGTACCTGCGCAACGGCTATTTGGTGACCCTTAGATCCACTGTTAGCTATCTGCATCTTCGAAAGGTATTCTCTTAAATCACTAAAAAATGATTTGTCTTCGTATTAGGACTCCGACATTAAGAAATCTTGATCGGATTTATTCAGAATCGCCATGCATAAACTCCCTCGGTGTGGAAGAGGAGGACTCCGATAATGACTTGGTTAGTAAAGTGGCCCCTATCCATCGTTGATTAAGTCCGATGCTTTCCAACGACTCCTATATAGTCCTGTGGTACATGGGCAGACATTCAGGCTATATATCAAACATGGAATTACGGCTGAGATGTACAGTACAAAACAAATTCTTGAGCTTCACAAATTCAGCTATAGTGAGAAGCTTACATTTATTAGACCAGCGGAATTACTTGAACTCGAGGATCCCACAGTCATTGATATAGAAATGTCTTAGCCGGGCGATTCAGACGATCGTATATCTTCTCTTACTGATATTCCGTCGAGTTAAAATCGTCGAACAAGGATACTAAGCTGGTGGTTGCGAGATCAAAGCCTTGCATAAGGACAGCTTACCAGAACCTGAAGACTTCGTATTAGATATACCTAGCAATCAACGAGAGAGAATATGCATCAGAACCGTGAAGCTCCCGGGATCTTTTGCAGCGTAGCTGCCCAGATCCGAACTGTACTTGATGTAGGCTCGAGCACTTTAGAATGGAGTTGACGCTTCGAAGAGAGCAGGGTTCAGCTAAAGAGTACAAGTTTCTGGTTACTATTTGCATATTATCTCGAATCTACACTGATCAGGAGACGGAGCACAATTCGCGATTCGACGAGCCTTTCGGGGATTTTGCCTGCTGCGCATTCGCGATACAGCATGGCTCAGCGGATAACTTTGACGATATTACGGACCTCAAAAGCATAGCCTTGGAGAGTCTTTGCCTGTTTTGTGATTAGATAATACTATATTATCTCCTGTGCCTGGTCGAGAAAGACGAACTTAAGCAATCCAGTAAATTTTGAACGGACTCTGTTTTGAGTCTAGGGGAATAAGTTCTCGTAAGGCGAAACGCACGACGAAACAAAACTACACGCAACACCATTGATGCCAGTCCGTAAAAACCACAACAGGTGGGAAGAACCTGGCTGCTGCTGCGCATTATTTTCCGAGGTCCCGATCGATCAGGGACTTGGGCCAGGGCGAAGGCCGCAGAAACCATGTCGGAGCTTCAAATTTACGGGGAGATTCAGAAATGAGACAGTATGGATGAACAGACAGGCTCCTTTGACGGCGGGACTACAAGTTGGCTAGGTAGCCCAGAGACGACGATATTTAAGATGCACCGACTTCTGGATGCTTTTGCGAAATCTTAACTGATTAATCCACGCTTCTCCTTTTCCAAGTCCCAGCGTGCCCACGCAAAGTACAGTGGAAGGACAAGTTTTATACATTCAGTCCAGGCCTCCCCCTATTCCCACTCCTTCCAAAGAAAATACCCATCTACCGAAATGCACTTATCAATCCTTATTGCTGCCGCTCTCTCTGTCGTCTCCTCTGTGCTGGCTTCCTCAATTCTAGAAGCCAGGCAATGTATTGGTCCCCATGTCAACAAGGCCACTCTCGCCTTGATCAAAGAATTTGAGGGCTTCGTACCGAGACCCGAGCCAGATCCTATCGGCCTTCCCACAGTGGGATATGGCCATCTCTGCAAGACCAAGGGATGCAAGGAGGTCAAGTTCCCGTTGAGCAAGGGAACCGCAACAACCTTGTTGAAGAAAGATCTCAGGGTGCGTTCGCTGCCCGCGCCCTATGAAAGTAGAAATTTTTGACGTGTTGTGAAACAAATGATGCTAACATGGCGTTTTAAAATGTAGAGTTTCCAACAAGCTATCACCCTGTCAACTAAGACAGCTGTGAAACTCAATGCAAACCAGTACGGCGCCCTCGTATCTTGGGCATACAACGTTGGGCCCAATGCTGCCCGGTCTTCCAGCTTGATTAGCAGGCTCAACCAGGGTGAAGATCCTAACCAAGTAATTGCTCAAGAGCTGCCCAAGTGGAGATTGGCTGGTGGTAAAGTCTTCGAGGGACTTGTTCGAAGGCGCAAGGCGGAGGTTAAATTGGCCAAAACTCCAACCAAGTCGAAGGCACTTCCGGTAAAATGTTGAATGTGTGAAAAACAAGCTAACGGCATTCCTCTCTCCTCTTGTTCTGCTTCCTTTTGCATCATATTGCAGGTTTTCATATTTAAAGGCTTGTTTCGTGTTTTCCTTCGTATAATTTTAGCATTTATTTCTCTTTCCACTCGTCTCTTCTTCTCCTTGTTTGTAAGTTCGATTGGGTTTGCCACTCTGCCTTTAAATGGGGGAAGTCATCTAGCGTATGGAACAATGGACACATTGTCATTCTCAATAAGAAATTCCAAGAGTATGGTCTGAAGAATGGAAATTCCGGCATCTAAGTACGAAGACTGGTTCTTTGTAGGACAGGTACTGCACATGTACGTACAGTACATGCACAACTTGAGGAAAATTGATATGCTGAACGCAAGACAAGTCAAATGGCGCGAGCTAGTGAATCCAGCAACAACACGCTGTTTCATGCAAAGTAGCAGCCTCAGTCTCCTCGGGTTATCGATTCAGGGTAAGATGCGCTTTTTTTTACAAGTAACAGCAGGGCGTTGTGCAGATGGCAGACGTCAGCAGGAAAGCCTACCTACTCATTTTGTCAGAGAAAACTTTGATGGTGCAAAAGTCGCATTAGCCAGCCAGACCTGCAATATGCCTAATCATCCAATTGTGGTGGTTTACCTTCATCTAGGGCCTGGACGGAGCACACCTGGACAGGGTACACATGATCCACGTGGCACAAACCAGTCGTGCAAAACAATTCTCGAACACAGGAGGCGCAAAGACATTCCAACCCCGAGGCCGGGGTGTTTGATGGGAGGGAACTCGATAAAATTTCCCCCGGTGATGCGTGCGAGTCTGTGTACGTGTTAAGTCCGTGCTAAACAATATCTCAAATCGGGACATCTCCTCTGGTTCAAGAAATGTGGCCTGTTGAACATGCGCACCATATGCCACGAAATGAGAGGCGAATTTACTGATTGGACAGCCATCATCTAAAAAATTGCCCAGGGCTGTACAGGGATGAGAAGAAGGTCAGCCACAAGGAGTTGGTGCATGATATCTGAAGGGAACAAGCAGATGCCTGTCATTCGTCTCCCTCGACCATCTATGGGCTAGAGAAAAGAAATTCCTTCCAGAACGGGTAAATAAGGCGGCTTGCAGTGTCGTATCTTTCGAAACAGAGCCACCCCAGCCGGCATTGTCCGAATCAAATATGCATGCTTCTTGCAACTACCAGCGTCCCGCAAGATACTGCCATCAGCCAGTAGGGTGGATTTTATTGTCCCGGATGTCAATAGTATATTCGGAGCGTCATTCTGGAAAGAACATGCATGTATATGTGGAGAAAGCTGGCAAGTTGATTGCATATCATTCCCGACAACATGAAGGGGCGAGATCCCTGTTGCTGAATAGTTCATATTATTGACTGAGGCGTGCAAATTCGACATGTCGAACTATAAAATTGAAGACACTGGCAGGTTGTCTCCTGTATCACATGCACTGGATGGTTACTCGTTTTGATCGGGTGTTTTATCGTCCTTCTCACTGCCCAGTTTCCAGGGCCGCCACCACAACTCAACAAGCCCCCCAATTGATAGATCAAGGAGAAGCTCAAGTCTCAGGGTAACACCAGGAACTAACTGGTGGCCCTTTCCCAACAGTTCCTAGCCTGAACGGGGCTGAAAGAGGCTGAAGCTGAATGAAAGCACACACGTCATCATTTATGCGCTCGGCTGGACGACCAAGGCAGCCAGTGCCTGGTATTGCATGTTTTGCT